AACATATTAGGCGGTATATAACAATGATCACGTGACTAAATTCTCATCTTATATTAAATATGTCTGCGAGACGTCAGAAACGTCTATAACACAAATCTCTCTTGATTTAATTCGTGAAATCCTGAAATTACAGGATTAATGTCAAACTGGCGTCACAAGCGTCAAATAAATTAACCACTGTCTTATTTTTCCTTTAATATTTCTGGATAATTATTATTATTATTTTGGTATTAGCTTTGTCTTAAGTCGTTAGTTTTTTTGTTTTAGTCAAAATGATTGATTGAATGATTGATTAACGCTCGCAGAACGATCAAAATAATGTGTACTGTATAAGGCGTAAGTCAAAAATCTATTTTTGTAATGTATAAAAAATTACTAATACCACAGACTTTAATAACATGTAATCAAAGTCCGTAAAACAATGATTATGTTAAAGTGTTATTTTTTGAAGAATGAATGATTAACGTGTATAAAAAAATAAGTATTTTTACAATTTTAGAAAAAATAGAATTTAATATTTTTTTTAAAATTACAGGTTGATGAATAACTAATGGTTTCCTTTTCTTTATTTTTTTCAAATCAACTTGTTTACTTGTTACCTCTGTTTTGCTCAAATACAATGTACAACTTGTTTTACTTGTTTCCTCTGTTTTGCTCAGTTAACATAAATGTAAGCTTACATTTAACTTAACAGTGCTGACTGAGTAATGCTTACATTTAAGTTAACAGTGCTGACTGAATAATGCTTACATTTAAGTTAACAGTGCTGACTGAATAATGCTAACATCTAAGTAAACAGTGCTGCTTGAATAATGCTTACATTTAAGCTAACAGTGCTGACTGAATAATGCTTACATTTAAGTTAACAGTACTGACTGAATAATGCTAACATTTAAGTAAACAGTGCTGCTTGAATTATGCTTACATTTAAGTTAACAGTGCTCACTGAGTAATGCTTACATTTAACTTAACAGTGCTGACTGAATAGTGTTTACATTTAACTTAACAGTGCTTGCTGAATAATGCTTACATTTAAGTTAACAGTGCTCACTGAGTAATGCTTACATTTAACTTAACAGTGCTGGCTGAATAGTGTTTACATTTAACAGTGTTGGCTGAATACTGCTTACATTTAAGTTAACAGTGCTCACTGAGTAATGCTTACATTTAACTTAACAGTGCTGGCTGAAAAGTGTTTACATTTAACAGTGCTGGCTGAATAATGCTTACATTTAAGTTAACAGCTCACTGAGTAATGATTACATTTAACTTAACAGTGCTGACTGAATAGTGTTTACATTTAACAGTGCTGACTGAATAATGATTATTTTTTTACAGTGCTGGCTGAATAGTGTTTACATTTAACAGTGCTGGCTGTTTTGATTCTATTATGTTATTCAAAAGCATGACTGAAAATGCTTATTGTCTCTGCTTAGAAAGCAGCCGTCAAAGGGATGTAATAGCAGTCCGGTGTCAAGATAATTTTACAATGACAATGGTGAAAGGGAGATAAATCTGTTTTTCTTTCAATGTCTTGTGTGCTTCATGTGCGCTTTATTCACAAATAATAATACTTATCCCCAGAATCGAAAACGAACAAGTGTATTCTTCACTGAGGTGTAATATCATGTTTATTTATTGGTAAAATGAAAAGTAACAAACGATCATCTTTGTGCAACAAAATACTATGCATTAAATCAGTAACCAGAGGTGTAAGAAAGTGAAACATTCGAAGATCTAGAGAAGTAATCTTATAGAGTTGACGTAACTTTGTATAACGTAACGTTGTACAAGTGCGTTTGGAATATGTTGCTTTGCCGACAGGAGTGCATTTCGGAAGTCATTTACGGTATCAATGTGACGATTTGGTCCAAATGGCCTATACATTTTCTATTGGATTTATATTCCACACCGTACAATCGAAAAAGAAGACAACAGTTAAATGTGATGATGGCAGTATTTTCTATATGCGGGTACGTTGAGGGTATGTATAAATCGACGGTGAGTATTTGTCTGGGTTTTTATCTTCCTACGATATTTTGGTCTTTTGAAGCCTACATCCTCAGAGCACAAAGTATTTTTAAAAAGTTACTAGTAATACGAAAAATACTGTAGACCTTGGTAATCTAGTTTAACCTTAGCTGAAAAGCCCCTCAATTTACTGGAAATGTAAGTGAGAATAAGAACAAACAACCTTGGACCAAAAATATATATTAAAGATACGGTCTGAATCCATGCTGGTCGCAAACGCATTACGTTGGTTTTGTCATGGCACGGCTCATATACAGTGTCACGTTTTCTCTTGACGCACAAGAAAAATGATTCTGTTATGATAGCATTTTTTTAACTGTTAGGGATTCTTTTTATTTATTTTAAATATTTTTTGCAATATTTTTAAAATCATGATATCGGCGAACTTGAATAAGGAAAAGTGTAGGCGGGGTTTCCATTGTCACCAGACGTCGAAGGCTCAGCTGCGTTGATAGTCGCTAAAGTGTCGTCTGGAAGAAGAAAAAAGTAAAGCTTGTTTGATTTATGAGCGTATAAACGTTCAGCATTTTATTACATAATTTACAAGAAAAGAAGAAATGTCGCAAAATATATCTTTTAAGGAAAGGTCATCTATTTTATTCTAGATGATGTTAAGTTAAGGACTGATACAATTATTTTTTCTGTCAGAAAAAAGATATATAAAGGGGAAAATTTCACTTCCTTTTGCTAGAACATTATTCAACATTTATTCATTCTGGTGAATGGCCTGTTTTTAATATTTCTTTACTGGTGAAATATGTGATATTTCAGCAATGCAAGTCAGTATGTTTAGTTGAATAATGCTTTTTCGTACATGTTTATTTTACCATTTTAATATCACAGACATACAAAGGGAGGTAATAAAAATGTTTGGACGCGATTTTCCATTGAATATCTGTAACACATTTCATTTTTTACGGTAAAGTTCTGACACATTCCAATAGTAACACTGTCCCTGGCCGAGTAGTAAGGTCGTTGTCTTCAATCACTTGCCCCTCAACGCTGTGGGTTCGAATCCCAACAAGGACGTTGGATTCTTTCATGTTTGAAAGCAATCCAGCTAGCTTACTGAACGTCGGTGGTTCTACTTAGGTGCACGTTTATAAGTCTGAAGTAATGCGCGAAAGGACACGTGAGATCTTCCTCTATCTGAAAAGCCTGAAAATCGCAATATGACATATTGTTGCCCAAACACACAAAAAAAATCATACCTTGATTGTTAACTGCCTGAAGTTGGGCAGGTTGTCGTCTGCGCAATGGATTGTTCTGGACCATTGGCTTACCGTGACAGTACTTGTCTCTCAGAAGACAAAATAAAATGACCAAAGCTGGAATTATAACTGCCGTGGCAGCAATAGCAAATAAAACTATGACCCATATCTAGAAAAGAAAACAATATAAATAAATTAATGTTAGAAACAATGACATGTAAAACAATTGTCTTAAGCACTTATTCTGAGTGATATTGCCCTACTGTGCTTTATCCCGTTCCCCGGATATTCTTGAAATACTTGATACGACGTTTTGTGCAAAAGAACTTGATTTGTCACCTTACTTGATAAGACAAGTGAGTAATCAAGCAACAACGTAATTATTTTAAAAAGGTACATTAAAGTCCATTATGCCTCAGAAACGAACACATTTTCCCTTTTTTAGAATAGGTGAACATTAGTTTTATAATGCTTAAATAGACGAAGTTAGAATTTTATCATTAAATTTTGAAGAAAATATCTATGAATGTCAAATAGGTGTCATAAAAATAGCAAATTGTGAACAAAGTAGTATTTTTATTTCCATACAAAATACTAAGCCACAAACAATAACTGTACCAGTTGTCAAGAGCAACAGAAGCAAATAAATGGTCAGGTTATTGGCAAATAAGTAATTTTAACGGAAAGTATAAAGGACACCAAAAAAAATATTTCGGGATATTATGGAAGAAAAGACTTTAAAGGCCCATATAGCCACAAAAATATATTACTTTCACTTTTCAAAGATTTTTTTTTTTCATTTTTGGTATCCTGTAACATAGTTACAGAAAGAGTTTCTTATCTATCATACAGATGGACTTTTGTGTGCAGTTTATTCAATATCTTAGTAAACATGTTATGTTTGCCTTTTTCTGTTATCTTGCTGAAAAATAAAAAGTTTTTTCCCTTTTACTTACATGGAAGGTACAACAGTATCTGTTTAACTTCTCACCGCAGCATCCGTACTTACATGCATGTATTGTACCGTCCCCATTTATACACAATTCATCACCAATAACCAGATGAAAACCTTAGAAATATATGAAAAAATTAAATTAATACAGGATACATATAAACATAGGCACACAATTACAATGAATAAAAAATAGATAAAAAAAACAATGTGCAGACAAATTGCAATATTGTTTGCCATTGCAAATCTAAAGGCCAAACTGACTCATTTATTCAACATTTTTTTTAAATATTTTGATATTAACATTTTCCATATTAACATTTCCATAATTATAAACATTTCGATATTAACATTCGATATTAAATTCGTCATATTTACATTTGAAAATTCAAGACAAGCTTTTTTTAATAAAAAGTAAAAATTTAAATGTAAAATTTTAGGATTAACCGTCTGCTGGCGGCAATGTACATGTACATACATGTAACCAGTGCCGACCAAGATCCGGCGGCACGTGGTCTAGACTGTAAGCTTTCCCCTCAGAACATAGAATAGTTTTGTCCAGATTGACAGATGAACATGACCATTTGAAATAGTTGGTGTGGTGAGGGATATGATTAAATGAGTCAAATGTTTTCAATGTTATTACACAAATTGCATTCGCCGAAATATCATACATAAGACAGTATAATGACTTATATATGCCATGTTCCTAGCAATATACGTCATAAATTACGAAATAATGTCATCATTTTCTTTCAGTTAAAAAAAGACATTTTTTTTCTGTGAAAATACTGGCATGATTGAGTTCCAGTAACATTTTAAACATACCTTCATATGATAGAATCCACACTAACACTAGGCCTTTTCTGTTCATATTTTCTATCTCTTGTTTATAAATCACTCCGTTCTTACATAAGTAATTAAAAGTTGTTTAATTAATATAGGTAATATAGAAAATGATTAATACAATATAGTGTTTGAATACATTACCGTGGTCGATATCAAATTTTATAAATTTATGCGTTATATATTGCCGTTTGTTATAAGTATACTGATTCTGTACTATGTACGGTAGCACAGAAGTGACACGTGTGTGTGTTTTTTATTTATCTCGTGCGCAAGAGATACTATGTCGTGGCCACGAGATAATTAAGTGGTGCACATGAGAAAAATTAAGTGGTGCGCACGAGATACTATGTGGTGTCCACGGGTTATTAAGTCGTGTGTACCAGATTATTAAGCAGTGTGCACGAGATACTAAGTCGTGCACACGAAATATTAAGTCGTGGGCACGAGATATTATGTCGAGGCCACTAGTTACCAAGTCGTGGGCACGAGATAATTAAGTGGTGCGCACGAGATGATTATGTGGTGCGCACGAGTTACTATGTCGTAGCCACGAGTTACTTAGTCGTGGGCACGAGAAAAACAAACATTATACTGGTACAAGCTGAAGTTTTCGGAAACATTTATTAGAAATATTGAAAACGAATGAACTTTTATCACAAAATGTAGTATCATGTTGACGGACTATAGCTACCTTTCTGTGAAACCATGCTGATTACATTTTGAAATAAAATTCCAGTTTTTTTTCAATATGGTGATCCAGCAAAGTAGTTTGTTAAAGGGGAGTAACTGATGATGCATTAGTTTTTATTTTCAAAATTGCGGTTACCTCTCTTTCACTAAATTATAGATTTTTGACAGCCGTTAATATTATAAATGCTGCCGTTGTAGGCAGAATGTATTTTTCTATGATGACGGAAAATGTTTTTAACTTGCTAACATTCTGACAGAAAATCAAGCTCACTGTTTCATTATTATTATTATTATTATCATTATTATTATTATTATTATTATTATTATTATTATTATTATTATTATTATTATTATTATTATTATTATTATTATAATTGTACATTTATCCACAATTGAGGCTTTAAACTAACATTTGTAAAAAAAATTCTGATGACAGAAACAATGTTAATGTGAAAGTTGCATCGAAAAAGCTTTAATTGACACGCAGTTTACAAGACAAAACAAGATTCGGAAAGACCAAATTTTTCTATATACATGTATGTAAGTAACCTGTTATGTCATTCAATGTAGAGTTCAAAGAAGTAGGGTTATTCGATATATTTTCAGGTAATGTGAAATGGCATTGGATGTATTGACTCCGTGTGATTTGAACTTAAGTTAACTGTGTATCATTAAAAAGTGTTGTAACTTCAGTGAACCTATCGCATTGACAAGACTGAAATTTCTAAAGTTTTAGTCAGCCATAAGTATATAGCTAATTCAGTCTGCAAGGATGTGCAGCCTGGAATACATGTATTTCTATACTGGTAAAATCATTTCGGTTCGAGCAGTGTCGGTAACAGTGGTCATAGTTACATAATTTCTTTTGATCTAAGCTCATACAAAGTTTAAACAAATTCTAATATACAGTTCTGAATCTTCCTTTATGCCTATGTAACTGTAGCTTATGACTTTAAACTTTCATTTGTTATATTTGCTCAAGATGGAAAAATAATCCATGCGATAGGTTCGCTGAAGTGACAGACACACAGTAAACTTGATTTCAAATTACATCCATCAATTCAATACCATCTCACACTACCTGAAAACGGATAAAATACGCCCTAGCAATACAATGTCAATTGATTCCACACATTGCTCAGCTAGGAGGTCGTTTCATATACAATGAATATAAATTTATATAATTATGATTCAGTTACATGTTTATATAAATATATTTTGTTCGTTCCATGCCTGAAAATATGGTGGCCGATGTGGTACACTTTGCCCCTTGTGTTGTCGATAGCGACAACACAACCTATATCGTTATCGCCTTGTTGCTAGCGAAACGTGCCAAACGGCGCGTTGTCACACTGTCGTCTTGTCGTCCTGTCTCTAACAAAGCACGCCAAACGGCGCGTTGTCGAGCGGCGCGACGTCGGGATGTCGCCCTGTCGCTTGGCTTATTAGCCAATCCTTCGATTTGAGCCGAGCGACAATGTGACATCGCGACAACACGACGCACGAGAAAACGCGCCTTTTGGCGTGTATCGTTAGCGACAGGACGACAAGACAAAAGTCCGACAACGCGCCGATTGGCGCTTTGTCGTTCTGTCGCTTACGACAACACAGCACAAAAGCCGTCCAAATCAGCCACCATATGAAAATGTTTGTACAATTTATTGAAGAGTTGATACCATTAACTAGGATTGCTATTTCTGTTTCATACAACATGTACACTAATGACGTCGTTTCATATATTGTAAGAACTTATATATTGATAATTTGATCTTATATAACTACATTTGATTAAAAATCATGACAACTTTGTTACTTTATACAGAAAAATTGATATTATATAATGTGAAAATGAACACAATTATGGATTGTTCATTCCATACACTGAATGGCATAGTTTACATAATGTTAAGATGAACTGATATAACTATTGTATTGAAAATTCAGCTTTATATTAGGTAACACATGGCTATTCTGGAATCATTTATTGAAGAATCGGCACCATGTAATGTCAAAATGTAAAATATATGTATACATTGCTGTTTCAGATCCATACACTGAGGCATGGTTTCATATACTAATAATGTTCTGGAAATTAACTAATATATTGACCATTAGGTTTCATCATATTCATGTAAAGATATCTGGTTTGATATATAGATAACTTGGAGCAATATATTGAAGAGTTGCTATGTATTAAAGAGTTCGTATCATATAATGACAATATATTGAAGAGGTGATATCATATAATGACAAGATATTGAAGAGTTGGTATCATATAATGACAATATATTAAAAAGTTGATTTCATAAAATGACAATATATTGAAGAGTTGATATCAAATAATGACAATATATTGGAGAGTTGGTATCATACAATGACAATATATTAAAGAGTTGATATCAAATAATGACAATATATTGAAGAGTTGATATCATTTTATGACAATATATTAAAGAGTTGGTATCATATAATGACAATATATTGAAGAATTGGTATCATATAATGACAATTTATTGAAGAGTTGGTATCGTATAAAAAAAATAATATAATTATAATTTTATTTATGAAGAGTTGGTATCATATAATGACAATATATTGAAGAGTTGGAATCATATTATGACATTTTATTGAAGAATTGGTATCATAAAATGACAATATATTGAAGAGTTGATATCATAAAATGACAATTCATCTAAGAGTTGGTATCATAAAATGATACTATATTGAAGAGTTGGTATCATATAATGACAATATATTGAAGAAATGGTATCATATAATGACAATTTATTGAAGAGTTGGTATCATATAATGACAATTTATTGAAAAGTTATTATCATATAATGAAAATATATTGAAGAGTTGGTATCATATAACGACAATATATTGAAGTGTTGGTATCATATTATGACAATATATTGAAGAATTGGTATCATATAATGACAATATATTGAAATGTTGATATCATATTATGACAATATATGAAAAAGTTGATATCAAATAATGACAATATATTGAAGAGTTGATATCATATTATTACAATATATTAAAGAGTTGGTATCATACAATGACAATATATTGAAGAATTGGTATCATATAATGACAATTGATTGAAGAGTTGGTATCGTATAATAATAATAATATAATTATAATTTTATTTATGAAGAGTTGGTATCATATAATGACAAATAATAAAGAATTGGTATCATATAACAAAATCGAATTGCATATTGTTACATTGGTATATAGTGCAATATAGTGCATATAGGGTAACACTGGTTTGATATACTGGTTTCTGCTTTCTTGTTTCATATTAAGTTATTTTCAATTTATGTATTGTCCAAAAAAACTAATACATTGTCCACACGGTTAAACTAATTGTAAAAAGAAAAATATTAGACAGAAATGGCTTTCAATACATTAATATTGACCTGGATTCCCAGAACCATGACTAGTTGACCTTTTTCATTTCATGTTTCAAAATTGGCCTACATTATATTTGAAATCAGACATGGTCTTGTCTTTCAACATTACTCAGTGGCTTGATTTTGCATTATTTAAACTATGGTGTCAAGAAATAATCGGAAGTGAGCAATTTATGACTATCATAGCCCTCTTGTTTGTTTTCAAAATATTTTTAAAAAAGGAAATTATAGAAAGACATGTTTAGATGAAGCAAAAATTGAAGTCTACGAAACAAAGAGAAAAACGTTTTGCGTACAGATCCCCAACGTTTTGCGTACAGATCCCCGAAGAAAAAGCAAAGGAAAACCTTCTTCAATAATATTAAAGGGAGTCTCTTATTGATATCGTCGGAACCAAAGTTTATGAATCTATCTCTAACAAAACAAAAGACTTAGACGCTTTTCTCATTGAGTAAATAAGATTATAATTATTTATTTTACAAGTTAAACTCAAAATGTGATCCGGAGTAAAAACTACCAACATCACCGCCATCAACGCAAAATGAGCCACGTCACGACAAAACCAACATAGTGGGTTTGCTACCAGCATGGATCCAGACCAGCCTGCGCATCAGGATCCATGCTGTTCGCTATCAGTTTCTCTACTTGCTATAGGGTTTGTAAGCGAACAGCATGGATCCTGATCAGACTGCGCAGGCTGGTCTGGATCCATGCTGGTCGCAAACGCATTATGTTGGTTTTGTCGTGACGCGGCTCATTTAACCTAGTATTCAGTTTGAAATAAATATTACATATGATATACGCAAGTAATACCATTACACGTTGTCGATGAGGTTCTTGAGTTTTCATATGACTTATAAAAAGCACAAGACATATAATTATAAGAAATGTTACTTTTAAGAAATAATATATCCCAAACTGTGATTTTATCGCTCAATAACATCACTGTTTGGAGTTCGGATGCGAGGAATTATATCACGAGGGCGATAAAATCACCGATTTGGATATTTTATTTCGATTCTAACACGCGCGTCGGATTTTATTGTGGTTACGTCACATGTATAATGATTACGTCACATGTCTAAATAGAACGTCAAACAGTGACTCTATTGCATAATAACAAACACTTTCGGTTCTTCTATGTTCAATAGGGAAAAATGCGGGTCGTGTTAGAATTTAAGATAATTTTATGATCTTCAAAAAACGGCAGAAAAAAAAAAACAATAGCGTGTTCCGTGTCCACTGAAAGAAGCCAGGGTGTTCCATACCATCTGTGTGTTCCTTATCCATTTAAAAGCAGTGTGTTCCGTACAAGTGGTATGTTCTGTATCCATTAAAAAGACGGCGTGTTCCGTACCCATCTAACTATAACTTTACGAAACAGCATTTCAAATTTTGATAAATTGGCAATAGTAAATCTCTGATATTTATTGTATATATTTCTACAAAACAGCGAGAAAGAACGAAGGACTTGCTAGAAATCGCTTTTTTAGTGTGTACCGTTTCCCTCGGTCCTCGATCGGTCCTATAGCTATAAAAATTACTGTACTCAAATGTTCAGAGGAATGAGCATATTGCGAAAACTGGCCGTTTTCATTGAAAAGTCTCCTGAAACAAGTTCAAACTGCTATGAAACTATAAAAAATGCTTGAAAACTGATAAAACTTGGCTACACCATAGCCTCTGTAACGGCATGCTCAATCGTAAATTTCCTGTTACCATGGCAACGGGGGGACGTCCCAAAATTTCCAAAAATCACTATTTTGCATTGTTTGTTTTTTTTTTCTTTCAAAGTGCTGAAATTTCTCAATGAATTGAGATAGAGTAAAAGGCTTTTCAACGTCGGTTACTAGTTAAACTAAAATCGACCTGAGGCCATTTTTAGCCTGTCACATGTCCAAAATTTTCTTGGCGATGAGGGGGACTGCCGCCGCCCTTCAACTTTTTAGGGGCACATCTCCCTTCTGGTAACCCCCTGATGTAACATTTGGATGGGGGACGGCGCCGAAAAGGTGGTCACCTTTTTTAACAACATTTCTTAAACGAAAAACAGTGTTTGGGACCTAAATAGGGCATTTTTTTCACTGTTTGAGGCCTTAAAGTGGGGGGGGGGGGCGGGGGCAAAAAGCCGTCGAAACACGCTTATATAAGGGAAAAGGTAAATCTAAATATACTGTCGGTAGTCGGTTAATATCAACGATATTGATAGAAAATATACATGAATCAGGCAAAAATGCGCGTGTGCCTAATAATGCGCATTGCAGGGCTTCAACAACAACAACAAATAAATGAGCGTCCCTCTTTGATAAAAGTGGATTCAGTCAAAATGTCTATTATTTTATCATTTACTGTGTATGAAGTTCGGAAAAATGCTTAGTTATTGTAAATAAAACTTTTTTTCATTTTTCTCGGAAATCAAAGAATTACCGATTTATTTGACGGTACCTAACTGTCATTCGAGTCTTCTATAGTTATAGTACGTGTGTACGCAGTACTTAAAACAAGCGCATGTGATCTAGATATTTTTTCCGTTCAGAAAGAAATGAGAAAGTAAGACTTATATTTCTACTACCATTTTATTGTTTAAGTGTACAAAAAAAAATAACGAAAAACAAATAACGATATTTTAAACTTCATAAATCACAACAATTTTATTACGAGTCAAAAAGATTGTAAAATAAACATGCTAATTTAAACTGCATTGTATTTCAACAGTTAAAACTATTGATGAAATTGGCAAGTAGCAATCTAACTTGTCATTAGAAATAAATCAGCAGATCTATTGTACTTATATTAACTATGTTATGGCAAAGCCTAATACGTCAAAATTGCAATTTGGAACTCATCTAAATTTAGAATATTCAAAATATTTTACGACTGCGTCAATAGTGATTTTAATGAATAAAGACAAGAATGTGTTTTATTCTTTGAAAATTCATACAAAAGAAAATTACCTTAGGAGACGTTCTTTAAAAAAGGTAATTCAAAAAATCTTAAAGTACGAACAGTTCATCAACTACATGTAGACCATTTAGAAAAAATATACAAACAATTTATACAAGATTTGAATTGTCAGGAATGATATGATTTTAATGCCGTAATTAAATGTCATAAATGAAGCGGAGTTTCCACCAACGAGTTGCAGTGAATTGTCAATATCAACATAGTCAGGTTGACTAGTTAAGTCGTCTACTCCATAGTCGTATGCATCGTAGATCGCTCCAGTCCCAAACGAGGACGCGCCCTGGTTATTTTTCGTTTTTGAGTTTGATTTGGTCGGACCGGGTATATTCGTAAGTTTCTCAGGAGAATATTCTGTAACCACGAGAGAAGTCAATGGAGTCACAAATTTATGCTCTAACGACAGTTCAAGGGCCTTATCATTTGCTAGTTTTTTACTTTTCGAATCCGTGCTGATATCGGCCTCTTCGAGAAGTTGTTTGACTCTTTCGTAAATAAAAAGGCGTGCCAATTTCTTCTCATCAATATCTCGTGTACGCACGGTTGTAATGTTGTCAAATACGACTCTGTCATTGTTTTCAGAAGCTATAATCACGGAGTGTATTTCTGCATTTGGGTAGGTTCGACCGGCTACAACAATGTCTGCATTACAATCGAGCAGTTTGAATTGAGGGCGCGTAATGTTTGCTTCTGGTATAATCTTCTCATCTGCCGTAAAGGTAAATTCAATGTTTTTGTAAAAAGGGCTTTCAATACCATGATAAAGGTCAATAAAACTTTCACTTTCTTCATCAATGTCTCTCACAATTGTTAACGTTCCTTCATTCTCATGGGCTAAAGTGCGTAAAAAATTTCTGTCGGCTCCTTTTCCGAATGCGATTGCGTGAATAATTGATTTGCAGCACATTACGCCATCGTAGAAATTTATGTCACGGACATTCTGTCGTATATCTTCTCTGTTCGTTACACCAACCGTAGGAGAACCATCGGTCAAAAACACAACCATTTGTCCAATGTGAAAATCTTCCGATGACTCCAATGTTTGACTAAAAAGGCTTATGGCTTTCAATAAAGCATCATTTATATTTGTAGACCCTTTTGCAATAACTTTGCTGCTCACAAATTGTTTAGCATCTTCTATATTGGCAGCAGTAGCTTGTCGGAATCGAGTCGACCACGAAGTTGCATAATCGTTAAATATAACAATATTGAAGTAGTCCTTCAAACGAAGCCGTGACAAAATCTGTGCCATGGTTTGTCGGACTTGTTTTACTGGGTCATTTTGCATAGATCCGCTAATGTCAATAACAAAAACAATTTGCTTTGACATTACGTCTTCCTCTTCGCACGATGTTGGTGAAAAGAAATGAACAAATTCGCCATTTCCATTGTAGTAAACTATTCCACCGTCTTTGGGGGGCTCCAATTCGTACTCTATTTCGAATGGTTTCGTAAAACCGAACTGTGTCGAATCTTGCTGACTAACACTAGGGTTCCATTGAACTTTTCGTATAAAAGAACCATCGTCCGACATTTCTTCATTTCTCAAAATAATTTTTCTACCATCTAACGGGTTTTGATAGGAAAATTGTTTAAAATTTTGCTTCTCCCTGTACTCACAGAAAACTTCTAATCGTGGTATCACGTGATCTGAATCGACGAAAAGCTTCTGAGAATATTTTCCAGCGTTCTTTTTAAGAAGTTCTTCGTACTCTAATCGGAACTCAAGTGTCGTCTGCGCAGCAACATTCACCTTGACATTGAAAATGTCCCTACCTATGTCGTCTGCAACATTTGTCTGTTGCGTAACGGTACCTGCATTCACGCCTTCTTCCTTCGCGCTATTGTATTCTTCCGCGGCTACATCCTTCTCTTTGATGACGGCGTTGATTGTTTTCTCGCTGGTAATAATTGAAAAGCTTGTAATAAAAGCTTCTTTCGGAATTCTCACTTGAAATGAAATTTCATCATCTTCTGTTTCCAAATTTTCTACAAGACTTCGAACAAGCACATTTGCGTATCTTATTGAAACATTAGAAACAATTGAGAGCTCCTTTACAAACAAAGTTTTTGAAGTGGACTTCAAACGTTCGCTGTGACAAACTGTTAAATAAAATAAGAAAAACGAAAGCACACGTACAGGTTGCTTCAACACAAACATTTTCAATACTTTATGGATATTCCGACAAATATCGATATGTAACAAATACCAGCAACCTCTCTCGTATATATACAGGTGTCTCAGATGAGAACTTGCCTACTATTGGTTGAAATACTTGTGCGTCATTAAAAGTCAGTGACCATTTGACATGTGATCGGCTTACATTTTTTGTCGACTTTTTCCGCTTTGTTACTATGGAAGCGTAAAAAGTACTCATGTCGTAAACTTAGAACGTACATGTATTTTTTTTCAATTCAATTTCTACCTAAAAGTTAAAACGACATCAAATAAATCTGATCTATGAACTAAAAGTATAAAAATTCTTCAAATAAAATGGCTTATAGATGTGACAGATCCTATACGCATTTACCTATATGTCAACGACAGTGTTATTTCTTTAATATTGACAATTTGCCAGGATGAAAAAGTCATTATTAAATGTATTTCTATAATGCTAATGGTGATAAACATGATTTCACGGTCCCTTTAAAATTGATGTTTTTTGTGAATAAAAAAGAATTTCATTGTGAAATGCACTTCACTTTAACTTCAAATTTACAGCAATGGTGTTAACTACAATTGAGCCGAGTCACGATAAAACAAGCGTTTTCGACAAGCATGGATCCAGATCAGCCTGCGCATCCGCGCAGTCTGATCAGGATCCATGCTGTTCGCTTACCAACTCTATTACAAGTAAATATACTGATAGCGAACATCATGGATCCTGATCAGACTGCACGGATGCGCAGGCTGGTATGGATCCATGCTTGTCGCAAACGCACTTGGTTTTGTCATGACGCAGTTAAAATAATATATAAAGCCATGTGGTTACACATAGCATTCATCAAATTAATGAGTTGGATGGTGGCTTTTAAAAAAAGGGTCTAAATTATTAATTACCCCTAATTTTCTAACTATATTTTGTCCTTTTAAACATTTAAATAAATCTGATAAAAAATGAATGTTTATGTTATGAGATAGGGAGGCCTATGTCGTTGGCCTACTATTAGAATAAAACATTATTTAGTAATAAGCAAAAATAATATCTCACTTAACATTTTGACAGCCTTGAACCAAGTACCCGCCTTTTGTTAGCCATTAACCAAAAGTGATTTGAGTTTTCAATCAGTATAGAGCCATATAATTTCAAACAGGCATTACCCTATAATCTCAAATAGGCATTACTCTATAATCTCAAACAGACATAACCCTGTAATCTCAAATAGGCATAACACTATAATCTCAAACAAGCATTACTCCATAATCTCAAACAGACATAACCCTATAATTTCAAACAGGCATTACTCTATAATCTCAAACAGGCATAACCCTATAATTTCAAACAGGCATTACCCTATAATCTCAAACAGGCATTACCCTATAATCTCAAACAGGCATTACCCTATAATCTCAAACAGGCATTACCCTATAATCTCAAACAGACATTACCCTATAATCTCAAACAGGCATTACCCTATAATCTCAAACAGGCATTACCCTATAGTCTCAAACAAGCATAACTTTATAATCTCAAACATGCATTACCCTATAATCTCAAGCAGTCATTACCCTATAATCTCAAACAGTCATTACCCTATAATCTCAAAAAGGTATTAGCCTATAATCTCAAACAGACATTACCCTATAATCTCAAACAGGTTTTACCCTATAATCTTAAACAGGCATTATCCTATAATCTCAAACAGGCAATACCCTATAATATCAAACAGGCATTACACTTTAATCTCATAAAGGCACTACCCTATAATTTCAAACAGGCATTACTCTATAACCTAGGCATTACTCTATAATCTCAAACAGACATTACCCTATAATCTCAAACAGGCATTACCCTATAATTTCAAACAGGCATTACCCTATAAATTACCCTATAATCTCAAACAAGCATTACTCTATAATCTCAAACAGGAATTACCCTATAATCTCAAACAGGCTTTACCCTATAGTCTAAAACATGTATTTCCTGTTAATCTCAAACTAGAATTATCATATAGCCTCAAATAGGCATATAAACTATATAATCTAAAACAGGCATTATGCTATAAATTTTAATTCTAACATGTGTAACAACCAAAGCTATTTTTGTCCAGGTACATGTTAGTAGGAAAAATATAACTTGCAGAGGAAATATGGTTTGGATATAGATCAAGACTGCCCGATTCATCATTTCAGGCATTAATAGGAAATGGAGTAGAACAACAGCTAGCTGCAGCTCCTTCACATGAAAGAATCCTAGTCTCTTGGCAAGATTCAAGCCAACAGAGATCGATGGAAGTGGTTTGAAGTCAGCAACTTTAACAAAACTAAAAATGTGTCCATAGGACACCCACACTTCGCAGATTTGTCAATCTTATGTCTCTAGATCAAATCATTTTTTTGGCTACATGTGCCCAAGTTGAAAACTAAATTTTTTTTATTAAGTAAAGGGCAAATACTACAAATACTGAATAAATCCACAAGAAAACCACAAGGTGCATAAGTACATGTGCTGACCAACATTCTTGTAAACTTTCAGGCCTACAGGCCATAAACTTTTTGAGTTACATGCAACACAAGTTAAATATTGTAAATATTCACTAAGTCAAGAGCAATAAATCTAAAAATACTAAAAATACCCACAAGAAAATACGCAGGTGCACAACTACACATGCTGAGCAACATTCCTGTAACATTTCATGATTAAAGGTCAAATTCTTTTTTAGTTATTTGCGACACAAGTTGAAAATTGTAAATTATCACTTATTCAAGGGCAATAACTCTAAAAATACTAAATATATCCACACGAAAATATCCAGGTGCACAACTTAACATGCTGAGCAACATTCTTGTGTAAGGTTTCAAGACTCTAGGTCAAATATTTTTTGAGTTACGTGCAACACAAGTTG